TACAGCACTTTTAGTAAATGTTTCGTCAAGTTGGTGAATATTTTCTTGATGCTACACATGTGCCTTTAAGTTGGTTTCCACCAGTGGGCCACCGTAGTTTTGGAGAAAAAAAAGTGCTGCTTATCTGCAGACACCTACTAGTAAAAAAACAAAGATTGGGATATGTACATAGCACGGCCCAACATTACAATAACTGCCTCTCGTTGCTGTCAGAAAAGCACAAGGTTTGTGTTTGCCAGTATACGAGTACTCCATGTATGCATTTACCCATTTAAGGGATTTGAAGTTCTTATACAAAGATAGAAGTGGTGCTACTTGTTCATCATAAAACACACCATTAACCAGGGTTCACAGTGAAAATAATATGACCATCATTTTCTTCCAAGGACTCACAAGTAGTCTCTGCAGCCACATCTTCATTATTTCAAGCCTTGTTTACAGTAGTAGGCGGAAAGTGTTTTCATGTAAGCTTTTACAGTAGGGGTGTGTCTGCAATATCTTTTGATGTTAGCAGCACAGTAAGGTTAATAGCTGTTCCCCTCCTTCTAGGCGCTTCTAATCAATCGCTCCAAATCTGAAGAAAATCACCCTCCATCATTCTGTCTACCGAGGGAACTATTTTTTCTCTTGGCAATCCTCCTCTGCTCTCTTCCTCGCTCTTCAGTACAATTGTGTGGTATCTCCTCTTTGTGACCCTCCATTTGGCAGACAAGCGGGCAGAAAAGCATGTGCCTATCTCCCTTGCTATTTCCTTCTATTTTCTAATGCCAGTCTTTCTTTCCCAAAACCTGTGCCCTTTTGCAGATACTAAAGGTTTATATTGATCTCTCGTGAACCCCCTCTGACTTCAGCCTGATCCTTCCAGCTAAGCCTTTTCATGAAACACTGCACATTTAGTGTCCCACGTGTACCAAGGTCAGTGAAATTCTGCAGATTTAAAAGGAGGTAAGAAAGTGGAGGGCAGTTTCTGCAGAAGGTGTGCAGGGACATTTTTATTCCTACATTCAAGGTGAACTGCTGCGTTTACTTGAAACGGATGTACAAAAAATGGGTTAAGTTTATATTTAACTTCCGTTCGCAAATTTTTTTGTGTATCCTTGTTAGTCCAACAACCATCTTCTAAATTGTACATTGTTTGGCTGGCTGTCTTCTTCTTCGCCTTTATTGGAGCTTTGCTACGGGTATCCAATCATTTATGTCGCCAATTCTTAATCATTAAAATTATGTGAAACCGGTGGCAGGAATATGCATTTGCAGATGTGCCAATGTTTTCTCTTGCATAATACAAAGCAAACAGAGACTTACTCATAAAACGATCCATAAATCCACAGGTTACCATTTGTCCAAGTCTTTTTAAATCCTTTTTCACGTTTATCCATTCATTGACGTCGCCAATTGTCAATCAGTAAAATTATGTTAATCTGGTGGCAGAGATGTATTCTCTAGCGTTATACAAACAGAACAGGGGCCTACTCGTAAAAACTCCCGTGCATAAAAAGTCCACAGGGTACCTTTTTAAAGTCTTTCTTCAATGGGTTGGCACTTTTGTTCACTGTGTTCTGCATGAAGTAACCTTCACTCTTGTGGAACCTTGAGTGGCCCCAAGGGGCACTATAACAAAAACAGTGTGTTTTATTTTATGGAAGATCAATCCCCTACTCTTATTTTCATTATGTTCCACAAAAATAGGAAGAAGGGTAGAGTTGCATCTAGCTCCTCACTTTAAATTGTTTTTTGCCTCATTCAACTCATGCAGAGTTTAGTCTGACTGAACTTTAACACACCTGAAACTTTTGAGAGGGATTCTGAATGAATACAGCTTTCAGGAAGGAACTATATACCCTCTGTTCAGGACGTTAACTGTGTTAGCTATGATGGCCCTGATTATCATAACTGCATGCTTTAACCTGTTCCACCCTGAGCCTGTTTTTCAGGTGTCAGGCTCGAAAATGACATTCCCAGAACAAATGACCATATCTTCCCTTCTAAAAGGGTTAAATTAATAATCTTTGTTTTCAAAGTAATGATAAACCTGTGAGTTGGATGTAGAAGAGTCAGAATCAATATAGATGTTTTTTATTTGAAAGAAAATTCAGATTGAACATAGTAAAAAACTGTAAATTATAGTGTCCGTCCAAAAATTCTTTTTTACTTATAGTGAAAACTACCCTTGGATGATGGTAAGGTAGACTAAAAGCTTTAGGAATCCAAAGTACAACATATAATAAGTACCCTGTATCAAGATTGATGCAAAACAAGTGACATTTTACCTTTTTAGAGAGATTTAGTAAAACAAAACACTTCTGGGGTCATTTGGGTGGATTTTCCATATCTCTGGCCCCCCTTGGTCGATTTTGATGATTGACACCTCTTTATAACCGCTAGAGCCAATGGAGTCGAGGGAAAGTTCTACACACACCAACACATTAACAAATAAGGAGTGACGCGTGGCCAAAACTGGAAGCTGCATACACTCTGTTGGCTACCATTAGCAGCTAACTTTTTTTCTCCGATGTTTACATAAAAATGGAATTATGGATTATAAATAATTTTTTCAAAGCGACAGATACATTATTAACCTATGGATCAACCGATTCAGCCGCGTTTCTTCTAGTTTTAATGCCATTGAACACGTCTTTTGATCAGATTGACAGCTACGGTGAGACGATCTCCCGTAAAAGCTCCGTAAAGGTACGTGTTGTGATGTCTGTGTTTGCTTCCCCTGTCGCGAGTTTGGATCGCTCAGTGATGATACTATACCTATATAATCTGTGGAGTCTCAGCTTTAATCGGATATATTGTATGTGCAGTTACGATAAGTAATAAGGGTATCTTTATCTTGAGTTCTGTGCTAAGTGAGTTCATATCTTCAGTTAGCTGAGATTCTTCCCGTTAATCTGGTGCTACACATTAATAGTTTCATAAATGTTAAGAAGCCCTGAGACACAGTCTCGAAAAAAAACGGTGGGGGGGGGGGGGTCCACTAGGGGGACCCTCGTCCTTAAGAGGTTAAGAGAAGAGCTGCTGAGAAGATTTATTTTCGTTTATTTGGATTCGTTTTTACATTGTCAACAACTTCTCCTGGCGCACATTGAGAAATATTCTGTATACAATTTGAATACTAACTATGTAACAATCTCATCCTTACACCAAGTGCATAGAATGACATGACAATTGATAAAAAAACAAAAAATTATAACAAATCTCTATTACTAGAAAACACATTGGGAAATAAAATGATAAAAGATGTATTTTGTCTGTGTGTGCTGTAGGCCTATCTGTAGTTGTTTCTAAAGAAGCTTCTTGAATACTTTTGAAATATGTGACAACTTATTCATTGGCATATTTTCTTAACTGTATTTTAAGTAGGTGGGAGTAGTCTTTGAATGTTAACATATGTTTTGATATTTAGCAAGTTCCATTGGAGGCTGATCCCTCAGGGGATTAGTGTGCGCAAATAAGTTGGTCAGAGGTACGATCCCACCCCATGCAGTCAACATGTCGGAGTCACCTTGGGCATAACTACACTATAGCTATTGTGCATATGCCAATAAAACCCTTAGATCTTGAAAATGCTGAACCTCAAATTGCTCCCGTTGGCATATCTACTGTACTGAGGTCGCTTTGGATAGAACCGTAAGCTAAAGGGTCTTCGGGTCGGATAGGGAAGGAGTGGTGCCATTCAGGGCTGGACAACATATTTATATTGTGACATGAGACTAAATATTGTCTTAGATTGCAGATGCCGTAATATCGTAGGTGTAATATTGCTTGTCTTAACAGTAAAGTGATATCATTTTCAGATTTTAGAATTTGTTCTATTTGCCTTGCTGCTATACCATATATCAGCATAACTGATGATTATTTATAATAAATATTGTGTTCTTTTTTGATGGTGCTAAAAATAATCCACGATCAACCCTTCAATAGCGTCTCATTTTTTCGATTTTTAGGCATTTGGTAAAAAATATTGTGATCATTGATTTGCTTCATATTGTGTAGCCTAGCGCCCGTGTATTTTATTTATACTATTACGTCTACCACCAAAACTGCGTATATAAAGTGAATATTATAGAATGATAACAATTCTGTCAAACAAAAAGAAGGAAATATTTTTTCCCCAAAAATGTATTTCAAAATGTCCCTTACATTTGTGTATTTCTAGCGGCACCACACTGGTGTACACATCCCATACCCCACTGGTATAATCAGGAGATTTGACTAGTTACTTTCCCATGGCACAACTGTCCATCTGCTATACTGACCTCACAGAATCATCACACTAGAGACCCAGTTTTATCCCATCACAAATGTATTTCATCGACCATAAGCTCACGTCATTAAAGTATCAGTAGCGCTCGCTGGTGGGCCTCCGTGTGCCTAAGTGTGTGCACCTCTTCTTATAAAGCCCTCTCACATGAGTATCCATATGGAGCTGAGCTATTATCCTCCTACAGTCCTCAGAGGCTGAGTCTCTGGCCCTGGGCATTTTAGCACATCGCTTTATGCCGCGGCTCAAGTTACACGGTGCCTGTTCTTCCAAGTGCTCATCAGTATCCCTTTCACAGCCATATTGTTAAACAGTTCAGTTAGCTCAGTCTGTTTGAGGCAGTGCTAGAGCCGTGGAGAAGGAGTTGCTGGAAACAATTGGAAACACAGTTATTTCCCGCAGTCCTACCACAGAAAGGTCCACAGTAGGAGGTGTTATCTTCAATGGGCTGCTGTACAAAAGAGAAGATGCCTGATGCTAGAAGCCCCAGGGCACCCTGCACTCTCCTCTTTTTGAAATCTGACTCCCAGCATCACTTTCCGCTCCGTCTGTGGAGAAATCTCGCCTCGCCCAAATGCATCCACCAGCACACAAAGTGTTTTGCTCTTCACTCACAAGCAGATCTTCACTCTGGCCCAGACACACAGTTGCATATGCAGACACACACGCTTATTCAGCTAATGTCTAGCTGCGTGAGTCTCTGGTTAATAACTGTTTGTTCTCTCCACAGATGCCGGCTCAGGATCAGGAGACGACGGTAAGATTACTCACCTCCCTCTCTCTGTTCTTAATCCACATGCGCTGCTTTTTAATGTTCTGCGCTCAAGGCCTTCCTCCACTGACACTTTGTTTGAAACTGAACAGCATATGAACAGAACTGAAAGCTAAGACAAGCTCAGTTTTTTTAAATAATAATCCGTGTATTTTATGGCCTTAAGCAATTGTAGAGAAGAACCTACAATTTGAAGTTTCATTCACAACGTTGAGATACTAATTTACTAATCAACATTCGATTGCTGTGCAGGTTGTTGTTTTTTGGTGTTATACTATTTGTTGTTATCATTCTCAAACCAAGTATTGAGCTTAAATTCATATTTTTTGCTATTAAGCCTTAAAAAAACACATCTTCACGGTACTGGCTGCACACTGTGGGAGGCACGCTCCTGTATTAACAGAGACATTCAACAGCACCATAAAGAACATTTATGCAACCATAATAACAATCTATCCCTCCCCTTTTCTCAAGGTGAAGACATCATAAAATAACAGGACAGACATTGAAAGCTTCAATAAAAAAACATGAAAGAAGCTTTCAATATAAAACAAAATAATGTTCGGAAAACAATATAATGTCGATTCTCGAATATCAAACAGATTGATATACAGTATAAAACAATAAATTAGGTCATTTTGATAACTAACCTTGTTGAACAAATTCATTTAGTTGCATTTATACACCTTATTGTTTCATTTTAAGCTGCTGAAACCAATTATGGTATATTATTTATGATCACGTGACTCCTTGAATGTGAAGGGGTCTCTAGTAGTGATGCATCCACTGAAAAAGTGTCAGTAAACTCAGCAGTTCCCTCAGTTCTTCTGTTTTAGCGTCTTTGAGCTCTTTGTTTTGGCTTCAAGTCGCACAGTCTTATTGTTTTGATTTAGTGTCACCACAATTAGAGCTGCACGATGAATCAAAATGTGATCAAAAACATCTAAATAGTGCAATATTATAACGGGCTAAATGTGTTAAATAACATTTTGAATGAAGTATTGTGGTGCTGCAGAGATATCCTTGGCCTCAAAGGGTATTCTACAGACTTAACAAAACATATTTGTTTTGGAGACTTTAGCAGCTAAATATGGCTCTCATATAAACGCATCACCAAATATAAATGCTAATGTGGCTCTATTTCTGCTAGATGGGAAAAAGGAGCAGGTGTTTGCTAACAAGTTTGCCATGGAAGCCTTATAATGTGACAATATGTTAATGTGGTGTTTACAGCGGGATACCACTAACCATTTACTTTAAGAAAAGATAACAGAAGACGAGATAAACCTTTATAGATCCCAGCAGCACAGGGATAGCAAAAATACAGGAAAAAAAACCCAAAAGATATAAATAATAGGGTTATTTTAAAACAAAAATACTATACAAAAGCATATGGAGACTAAAACTGCAAAGTAAAGCGAGTGTGATTAATGGCAGCAGATTCAGCATGTCTATGTTATTTCAGTCTTTATGAATATGACTTCAGCTTTCTAATTTGACGCCAGACGGGCCAACTGCCAAGCTACAAAAGAGCCTCCTCCGCCTGCCAACATCCTGTGTTTGGCTATATCTATATCAATACACATTTCATTGCTTTTATTATTATTTTTTGCACGGTTATTCAGCAGAAAGCAGGGAATGTTTACAAAGAGAAAAAAACACATCAAAGTGGCCTTGATTGCATCATAAAAGAGAGTTTCTTGTAAATGGTCTTTGCTGGTGCATTGAATGATAATGTTACAGAAAATTATAGTAATAATAAAAAGGCTTTTAATGGATTTGCTGTCGAAAGCTAGTTTCAAGTCTCAGCAAGATCATATTCCTGGAATTGATGGCCTTGGAGGCAGGAAATAATGCTTCGGAAAATGGTCAGAAACGTTTGTGTTCACTGTATTGGCACAGTCTGTTGGGAATCTAATCTCCAACTGATTTATTTTGACCAATGTTGTTTTTTATGTTGGGAGGCTCAAAACACAAATCCACTTATTACACTTATTACTTATGTGTACTGCCTCTGTAAGTGTCCCACTGAAAATACTCCATTTCAAAAAGGCCTGCCAAGACAGCGCTTACAACAAATGTCACGGAAAACTGTTCCCCTCAACTCTCTCATTCAGGATTGTGTTCCTTCTCACGCTGCTGAATGAAAGCAACAGTGGCTGTTTTTCTACCAAAGGCCCTATGACAGATGTTTGATCTGTAATAGGATTGGTAGAAAGAGTTAATGTAATAAGATGGAGAAGAGCTTATGGCCGTCCTTTGAATAACTTTTTGTATGAGTAACTAATCATTATCCAGCTGATTAATAATCTGCCATTCAAGAAAGACTGTAATTTGTTTCCTAATTGACTAACAAGACATCGGCCCAGACTGCACGCGGTCGGGAGTCGGGCTCATCTGTCAGTGTGCGTTCGTCCACATGCATATATTTACTCCGTCCGTGTCTATCTGTCGCCCCTGTGTGTTTACCCATGCAGGCTCTTCATTAACTCTCATGCACGGAGCCTCACCGAGCATATATGAGAGAGAGATTGGAAAAGAGATTAGCTTCCAAATAAATAAATAAAAGACGGCAGACAGACGGATGAACGAGCGGAAATGAAAGTGGTGCTAGGTCAACCAGAGAGAGAGAGAGAGAGAGAGAGAGAGAGAGAGGGATGAGCGGAGAGGGGGGGGGTGGACAAAGAAATGCCCTGAGGAAAGTCGCAAAAATAGATAACAGAACTGAGGGGAACAGAAAGCGAGTGGAGCGGAGGAGGGCAGACAGTGATAAGAAACATGCAGAAGAAGAAACAAATGATACATTTGTATATATGTCTCCTATACACACTATTTATTCTGCTTTGCATTGAACTCTATAAGGATGCTTTTGATGCAGCGCGGTAAGAATTTGCATTCGGTATTCACACGGGTTGTAAAAAACGTCTCCTTTTTTTATTCCATCAAGCAATGCCATTTAGGTCTAACTGTGTTGCATATTGGATAAGGATCACCCTTCCCGGGAGTGTTTTTCAGCGTTTTTATTGCAAGGCACCGCCATAACTTCCCCTTCAATTGTAGATAAACAAAGCATTCACAGCGCTCTTGTTTAAATACTCTCTGGCTTCACAACAAAATGAGAATAAAACTAGGAGAAAGTGAACCTGATTTGTTCTAGCAAAACAAAGATATCAATCAAATTAATATAAATAAATAACCATATTATGGCTATCCTTTGACAATTATTACAACAGAAAAGAGTAATTTATAGTATTAGTAGTATGAATATATCAATTACCCGTTTGCAATAGTGTTTGAAGTTAAGCTGCACACGTTAGCATGCGCGGCTAATAGCTAACTAGCTAAAGGAGACCAAACAATACTTCCCTGTCCAAGGGGCATTGTGGGGTTACATTTTAATATCCGTGTCTACCATAGGTGGAGTACTCAGATCATTTGAAAAAGGAGTTATACCACAATACTTAGTTACAAGTACAAGTCCTGCATTAAAAATCTTATTATAGTAAAAGGTATCAGCATTCAAAAGTACCTTAATTCCGAAAAGTAAAAGCAAGTCATTATTTGTAACATAATAAAACATTATAATGATTTTATACATTCGATTATATTTGATTTAACTGACACTTTTGTCCAAAGCGGTTTACAATAAGTGGGATCAACCAGGAAGATGCAAGATACATTGGATTTCAAAAGCCCAACCATTACTTGCCCACCAAGTGCTACTGCATTGGTTTTAAATAAGTGCTACATACATACATACATACATACATACATACATACAGTGAGTAGATTTACATTTAGTACATCCAATGTTTTGGAGCCTGTACTTTATGCTTTAACAGCCTAAGCTCAACAACAGCGGCCCTACTCTTAATTCGATTTGGCGAAGTTCACACTCCAGCAGCGCCAGCCAATGTTACCAGAGATCTTTAGTTACAGATTCCAAACAGATCATTAAGTCCTCATTCTGAAAGACTTATTACCTTTTGTAATGTTAAAAATTAAACACTCAGTTATAAATACAATCAGTAATCTCACCTCTGATAAAGTCAGATGTTTGGAGGCTGCAGAGTTTAGGAGGAAGAAATAGAAATAATTAGTTGTCTCTCTCTCTCATAAATGCAGTCTTCGTGACTAACAAAGTGATGCATTATAGCTAACAAGGTCTCAAAGGTTTACTCCAGGTCAGACCTGCCACATATATGCCTCACCAAACTTTTCTTGTTATGAGGCGATTTACTCATGAAAGTCTATAAAACTTGTATTACGAAAATGATCAAATATATTAGCATTTACTTATCGTTTTGTTAGAAGCCACGTAACATCATATACATGGCCAAACACATAGGATAAACAGAGCGCAGAACATGCAAAGCTTCCTAATGAAAAGTCTAAATAAAAACTGGAAGTATAGCTAGAACAAGAGAATGTTTCTTTATGTAATAAAGTGTATAAATTCTACATCAGAACATATTTGTTCCCTTAGAAATGAATAACATTTCACTTTGTGAGCCACATAAATGGAACATCAGGCAGGTGAAGAGTTTAGTGTCATTATCCACATTAAAGCCAGACAGTTTTTATCCTGAATATCCCCACGGACGCTCATCATGATTGCTCACCTTTTGAGACCTCTGGCTGGTGTAAAATAAAAGCTGCAGAAGTGTCCTTATTCTCTAACTGTCAGATAAATTTGACGAATCGATCATTCAGGAGGTAAAGAGACAATTAAGAAGAAATAGCTCGGGGGCAGAGAGGCTATTTGAGTGAGAGGCGAAAGAAGAGGGCAAGGACAGGAGGAGGAGGAACACAAACACGAGCTATAAAGATAGAATCATAGCAGAGGTCAAACAGATGGAGAGATACAGTAGAAGGGAAGGAGGGAAGGAGGGAGGAGGGGGAGTCAGCAGAGGAGGAAGAGGAGAGCTGCTGGTGTTTTATGAGCAGGGGAGAAGGTTAAAGAAAGTGGTTGTAAAAGGTGAGTT